GGGTGGGTGGGTGTGCGTGTGCGTGCGCGCAGCCGGGTGTCAGTTTCGCAGTCCCTGCCTCCTCATCATAGTACGGTCAGACCCGAACCGAACCGCGGGCTTACGGCTTGTTCGTTCTGCGGGCCAAGAGCTTCAGCCGCTGGGCGCTCCCACCTCGCCCCACCCCACCGCGCTTCACGACGTTAGGCGTCTCACCCAGTCCTGGGGCCACTGAAGCGTTTCCTCTGAGGTGCAGCGCTCCGGGGAACTTTGTTTCCTCCTCTTTCCTCTTTGTTGCTCTGAAAACCGGTCTTACAAAACCCCTCACTTCAGAGGGAGTTCAACTCCCGAGAAAGGCAGCTGCCGCGGACTGCACTGACCGACCCCTCCTGTGGACCAGAGAGCCGGCGGCGCCCACCAGCCTGCCTTCCTCTCCGCCTTCGTTCGTTTGCCGGAGGAAGCCAGTCGAGAGTTCATTGATGCACCCATTCCAGTGGTGTAACGGTGAGTCTCCCGGCGGGTGAGCGCACGCTGGGCTGACCAGAGACACCGGGAGGGGTCGTTTTCCTTCTGGAGCTAAGTTTCTCACGAAATGGGACGGGCGAGAAAGCGTCCCCGCGCCCAACTCTGCACTGCGCGGGATTCCAAAAAATCTGCGTCTGACTCAAGGGCCGGGAAGTGTTGTAGAGGGTTTCTGAGCAGGTGGCCGAGCGGGGAGCGTGGGAGCTAAGAGGTTCGTGGCCTTTGTGTGGCGGCTCTGCTCTGCTCTCCCCTTCCCCTGCTTTTGTGCGCTCAAACTCCGTTCTTTGTTGTGGTTGTCGGAGGAGAATTAAACCCGCGCTCCAGCTAGGATCTCCTAGGGGGAGCTCAAGTTCCCCTGCCTGAAACTTTGCAGGCTATTTTAAATATGTATACAATGCAGCGTGCGGGACGGGGCGCGCGGGCGGCTTCCTCTCAGTCTTTGTTGGTTCCCGCTGGCTGCTAGGGTGGCTTTTGTGCCCAAGAAAGACGCCTGGTTAACGAAGGTGCTTTATTGAATTGATAAAGCCGTGCGGATTTTTCGGTGCCCAGCCATCCTTGAGGTGCGAGGCTGGAGTCCTCTCTGGTTCCAGCTGTGCTCTGCGGCTCCAAAGGCCAGACTGAGATATCTGCCCCCGAGCTTTGGTGGTGGCCGCACCTCGGGACATCTTCCTAGGTGATGCGGCTGAGTTTTATTTCACCTGAGGCTTTTTGGTGGTTAAGGTGATACAGATTGGGCTGTGGGTCTGATTCTTGATCCAGGCTACCTGAGAGGAGTGTCTTTCTGAGCGAGTCATTTCAAAACTATGAAACCTTAATACTCTCCAGCAGTACTAAGGTCTTGACCTAGTTGTTCTGATGCCTGGAGTGTTTCTGGAGAAGACAAAAAATAAGAATAAAGTAACTGGCCTTATCTCTGAGTATGGCTGACTAATTAGGAAAGAAAAAAAAAAAAAAAAAACACTCGAGAGAGCAGACTTCTGCCAGATCTTGGATTAATTATTTCAAGAGGCTTTTGTTTTAAGGCAGGATTTGTGCAGCTTGTGCATGAGTGTCCCCCATCCTCCCCTCTTGCTCCTTTGGCTGGTCGGATCTAATTTCCTGAAAATGAACCAAGCTGTGTGTGATAGGCGGGCTTTATGGAAGAGGGGCGTGTTATGGGAGAGGGGGCTGAGGGCCGGGGTTGAGGAAGAACGGGTGCATCCCAGCATCTGGGAAAAATTCCTGTTGGCGGGGTGGGAGAAGCCGTTCCCAGATCCTCTGGTCTGTCTTGGCCAGCCCTTCTCTTGACGTCATTCCGGCTCCCAGCCTCCGCGCTGAGATGAGACATTCTGATGTTAAGGTTTTCATAGCTTGGTGGAGACAATGGAACAGGGACTGCAAGAGAAGAACCAACGTGTCGCCATCGGTGGCACTGGTCTTTCTACTTCTGGGCATTCCCCTCTCAGGAGTGAGGTTTTAGACCCACCTAAGACTTTCTGCTTTCTTTTCACTTCTTAAAGTGACAGAGATCCTGTTCTTTGACTCCAGTGAGGAAGCAATCTCCTTCACCCTTTTGTGGGAAATTTGGTCCTTACTGTCCTTATAAGTTTGAGGAAAGATTAATTTTTTTTTCTTTCTTTTTAATAAGTTAATGCAAGCAATTGGTCCCTGTCCTCTTGGCTGTCAAACTCTTCCCACTTATCTCTATCATGCAGTCTCAAGATGGCAAACTCAATCCAGAGAGTCCCAGAAACCATTGACTGGATTCTGACTCATGGTGACCAGACAGATTTTAAGGGCTGACTTTTTAGAGGTAGATCCCCAGGCCAGGCCTTTTTTTGGATGTGCTTTTGCGTGAACTTGAACTTCCAACTTTTTGGTTAGTAGCTGAGGACATAATCATTTGCACCCCTCAGGGACTCCCTGGAGCCCCACCAAAAGCCTATAACATTGGATAAGATGGAGATAGAGATGAACTGATCAGAGGAGTGCCAAGGCTTGAGTGTCTACAGAGTGTGTACAGTAGCCAATCTCAGTGCCCTGCATGTTCCCAGAATAGGACCCCAGATGAGGCTCTTTAGGACTCTAAGTCCAGCTCATGAACTGGCATATGGAAGGGCCAGGGCATGTGTGGGGTTAGACCCTCTTCTCATAGCATCACATATTGCTGAGGCAGGGAGTAGGGATATGAGCTTGCTAGGGAGGAAGGACTCATTGGCACTGAGGATAATTCCCTGGAAGAGAAAACCTTTTCCATTGTGGACTGAAGGTTGTCCCTGTTGGCATAGTGCATAAGGGACTTGACATCTAACTGGAAGGTCAGTTAGCTGTGGTTCAAACCCACCAGCTGCTCCACTGAAGGAAGACTGGGCAATGTACTTCCATAAAGATTTACAGCCTTGGAAACTCAATGGGGGTTGCTAGGAGTTGGAAATGACTCGATGGCAGTGACTTTGGGTTTTTTTTTTTTTCTCGATGGCAGTGACTTTGGGTTTTTTTTTTTTTTTTTTGGTAGCCAGTCCACCATGCTGCTTCATGGAAAATTGATCCCTAGGCTTATAGAAAGCCAATATTTCAGTAGAGGGGGATGTAAAGTACTTTCTTTCTCACCCTTGCTGGAAGCTAGAAGCAAGGGGCTTCTTGCTGTGCACATCAAAGTTTAGTATTTAATTTTTTTAACTTTATCAAAAGATCTTTCAGGACAAGAACTAGTTCTTTCACATTTTGTTCCCCACAATGTCTAGTGCATAAAGCAAGCAGGCTCTCAATGATACTTTTTGGTTGACTGATGATCCATTAGCAGAGGGCAGTTTCTGGGCAATTTTCCCAATTAGCAGTCTCCTTGCTTGAAGCTTTTGCCAAGAGTCCTAGGTTGAAAATGGGGAGAAATAGAATGAAAATAATGGGAAGCTTAGGAAAATACTTCATATGGAAATAGAACCCCATAAAGAAGATATTATTTGAGCAATTATGAGAACTCAAGCTTTTTATCCAACTTAACCTTTTCAATTTTTCTATTGACTTGTTGTTGTTGTTATGTGCCGTCGAGTCGGCCCCGACTCATAGTTATTGCAAATATAGTACCAAATACTTGGTGAGGCACTGGAGAATATACAAAAGATTCAAGTCACTGTCCTCAGTTCTAGCTTGTTAGAAGGACCATATACACTCAGTGCCTCCATCTTTGTTTTCAGAATTGTAGACACACCTTTTCTGTGGCACCTCACTTTGTATGGTGAAAATCATTGAATTTGTCTTCTTCCCTAGGTTGTCAGATCATCCAGTCATTCTTTGCTTTTACCTTCAACATCTGTCATGGTGTTTGTTATATAACCAGTGCTTAAAGCATGTTTGAGTTGAATTAAGTTGATGCTAGAAACAGTTGGGTAATGTAAGACAATTACTGAGTAGCAAATGCCAGAACTGTGAGCACTATAGAATTCAGGGGACAGAGGGGTAACCAGAGTATCAAAGATGAGGATTGGTAGATTAGAAGGGAAAGGGTGTTTCAGGCAAGGGAAAGCTGTATCAACAAAGGTGTGGAGACAGGTGAGGACAGGGTTGGCCAAGAAATGGTGAGTATATTGGGCCACAGAGGGGGATGGTGGAGAATTGATTATGAAATTGAGAGAATGGTTAAGAGGCCATGAAACCATTTGTGAGTTTGGGAACCACATAATAAAAACTCAGTGGGAGGATGTGTCAGGCATGTGGGCTTAATTAGAGAACTGTGGGATTAGAAACAGGGATGACATCAATTAGGAGACAGTGGTGAGTAATGTGAGTGTTTGAAACAGGAACGTGGCAATAGAATTAGGCATGAAATCTAAAAGAAGTTTGAAGGGAGGCTCATTACATGGTCACCACTCAAGTATACAGGATGAAAACAAGATGTACAGTGTCCAAGATAACTTCCAGTATTTCCAGCCAGCCTTCTGCTGAGTTCTGGTAACATTTGGTTACCATAATGGGTAAATCAATGGGTCCTGGCTCCTAACTCAGATATCTGAGAAGGACTTAAGATGTATGTTGAGGGTCCAAATACTGAGAGACCTTTGGAGCCAGACCATAACGTGCTTGTGGGCATATTATGAATCTTTTTTTCCCTGTTTATGAGGAAAGTAACTTTTTACTGTGGCATGAAAAAAGATTAAATTGGAATCACGGGCATATGCTTGAAATGTAGTAGGTACATGGCAAATTCTAATTTTATGTCTTGCCAGTTTCTCCCACCCAAGAATTTTATGCTTATCTTTTAAATCACTATTTTTGCCTGCAAACAGGACACACACACACTCACACACTCACTTGACTAATTGTTTTTTGTGTGTGCATGTGTATGTTTCCTTATGCTTAAACATTATATACAGGTTACAAACTCAGAACCAGAAGTCTCAAGATAGAGAGTGGCTCAAAACCAAAACCAAAACCAAACCCAGGGCTGTCAAGTCAATTCTGACTCATTGGGACCCTGTAGGATAGAAGAGAACTGCCTCATAGGGTTTACAAGGCTGTTAATCTTAATGGTAGCTGACTGCAGTCCTTCTTCTGAGGAACAACTGGTAGGTTCTAATCATTGACCTTTCTGTTAGCAGCTAAGTGCTTAACCACTGTACTATCAGTGCTCCTGAGAGTGGCTCCAGGTTTGGTTAATTCGGCAACTCAGCTGACATAATCAAGGCCTTCACGTCCCTTCCCTCTTTCTTTTCTGCCATTCCCAGCTGTGGGGCTAGGAATCATCTTCTGTCATTATAGCCCTAAGCCCCCCCCTCAGCCCCCTTTCCAGGTATCTCAGGGAGGCATAATACCAACCACTTGTCTTAAGAACAAGAAATGCTTTCCTTTTCCAGAGCCTTTCTTCTCAACAAACTGGCTTTCATGCTTCTTTGGCCAGAACCTAGTCACATAACTCACTTCAGCATCAAACACTGGGTAAGAGAAAGGTGACCACTATGAGTGGTAGAGCAATTGGGATTTAATCTCTAAGTCATGTGAGAAGGGGAATTTTCCATTGGGTACCAATGCTTCTCAATCACCTGGACATCTTGTTAAAGAGTAGATTCTTATTCAGTTCATTTGGGATGAGCCTAAGAGTCTGCATTTCTGACAAGCTCCCAGGGTATGCCACTGCTGCTGCAGGACTGTATACTGAAGCTTTGAGTAGAAAGGGGAAAGGTGACCAGGAAGGTATGCTGAAACTATCCCTCTGCCACTTTTTGGAATACTGTTCTAATCTTGGTGCCACCTGTTTGCTGGAGCAGCTGCCTAAATGACAAATGACCTTTCAATTTATAAAGCATATTTCTTACACCATCTTTTTCTGTTTTCTTTATATGCTTTCCTCATTTTCGTATGACAAGGTAAAGCTCAGAGAGGTAACTTCTTAAAGGTCACATAGCTAAATAGGGTGAGGCAGAGGTGGAAATGAAATACAGGTTTTCTCAACTAAGCCTTTTCATTTTGCTACTGTTTTGTAGTCTTCTCTGGAATTGAGTTTTCCATCTTCTGCCTGTTGCCTGAATCCATGATCCCTTAGCAGCAGGTGCTATTCTAAGTACTTTGTGTACTGTCTCATTTCACAGATTGGTTAGATGATTTACCCAACATCACACAGCTAGTAAGTGTTGAAGCTGGATATAAATCCAGAGCTACTGATTAGAGATACAGGAGCAGAGATTCTGCCACTTGTTTCTCCATACTTGTTAAAGAAGAGTACCATCAGGTCCAGTGCTAAATTTCCAGCTAATATTATTTTTTCCTCTTCCTTTTCAGGGTGTTTCTGTGGCCTGGGACTGGTTAGCACCAACAAGTCCTGCTCAATGCCACCCATCAGCTTCCAAGACCTTCCCCTCAACATCTACATGGTCATCTTTGGCACAGGCATCTTTGTCTTCATGCTCAGCCTAATCTTCTGCTGCTATTTTATCAGGTAGGTGGATTGTTCGTTGGCCTGGAGTGGGAGAGTCAAGGAGGAAGAAGCCAGGGGTAGGGTAAGTTGAGTGATCCTCCCACAGTACAGTTACTAGTCTCTTTACTACTGAGGCCACTGATTTGAGGACATGGCTTAGCCTGTCCTTCTCTGGGCCTCTGAGGCCTGCTGTTTCTATTTACATCAGCCTATCAAGTTTTCCCAGAGCATATAAGGTCACTATGTGCTGGGCTGCATCCTGGCTTTTGCCCAGTTATTCTAAAGTTGCCTAGAATTACTGTTTGATGTAGAGGCTCATTGTAACACAGTGTTGGTCACTTACCGGTCTTTCACTCTTTTCCACTCATGCCCTCCGAGTGGCCAGGGACAGACAGGTGGGCATCAGTTACACCAGCAGCATGTTCCTTTGTCCTCCTGGGAAATCCTGTTGTCAACCCTCCTGATGCTAATATTAGCAAACTGATGTCTAGAGATCTGCTTGTTTATCCTGCCTCATGAGTTCTTATTTTTGAGAATGAAAAAAAATTAAAATGTCACTTATTCATAATTGCTTAGAGATCCAGGAAAGGAATTGGGGTTGGCAGGAGTAGCCAAGCTCCAGGGACTCTTTCTTCACCTCCTGTTGAAGGACATGGGAACTGATGACTGTTTTCTACAGAAAATTTTGGACATGACTGGTAGTTAGGGGAGAAATCAAAATAGTGTTTCCTACTGGAAGGTGCTGTTGATATTGGCAATTCTTCATTGTATGGGACTGTCCTGTTTCATCCAAGAAGTGTTGAAACATCCTTGACCATTAGAATATGGTAGTAGACCTATACTAAGCAACAGGCACAGTGGGCAAACCCTATTTTTGCTGCTGACTGCGTAGTAAAGATCAGCATGAATCCAGTTCTCAAAATGTGGATATGAATCCAGTCCTCACCTTCCCATTTCTCCATCTTCCCATCAGTCACTAATACAGCACACCTCCCCAACCCTAGCCACCCAGGGCTGGGTCAGAACTCACAAGATAGAAAGACAACTTCTTTCAGATTGCCAGATAGGCAGACACCGGCTCTTGCTGGCCCTCACTGCCCCTGAGGGTTCATTAATTTGCTGGAATGACTCTGACTTCATAGGGAGTACATCATACTTATGGCTACAACTTTATTACAGGCAAAATGGATACAAACGAAGAGATGCATGGTGAGTCTGGGAGGGATCATACTACAGTTGACATGTCCCAAAGAGAGGCATACTTCCCTGGATAGCCTCCAACAAGCAAGTCCCCTCTGAAACAGAGGGTTTAGGCTCTTGTTTGCCTCACCAAAGGAGCTCTAGTGGCATAGTGCTTAAGGCATTTGACTCCTAACCAGAAGGTTGGCGGTTTAAACCCACCAGTCTCTCCAAGGAAGGAAAATGAGGCAATCTACGTCTATAAAGATTTACCACCTTGGAAACCCATTGGGGGTCTCTATGAGTTGGAATCGACTTGATGGCAGTGAGTTTGGTGTTTTTTGTTTTTTTTTTTAATTGACCTCAGGTTTTAGTTAGGCTGTAAAGAACCAAATTATATTTTCTTTTCTTTCCTCCTTTTTTTTAAATTTCATTGTGATTTGGGTGAGAGTTTACAGAGCTCATTTTCCATACAGCATTTCATACACATTTTGTATCATGACCTTGACTGCAGTTCCCCACAATGTAACAGTTCTCTTCCCACTTCCTCCTGGTAGTTACCTCTTCCCTGTGTCCTTCTAGCCTATGCATTCTTGTCCCTGAGCTATCTCCTTGAGCAAACATTGCCCTTCTGTTCTCCTGTTATCGATCGATCATTGTAAGGAGAGTATCTCTACCTGAAGTAATTATTCACCCTGTATGCCTGCCTGTTTTTGGCTGGAAGTTCCAGGAGTTCAATTCCAGACCTGAAGGGTAACTAGGGGCCATAGTCTCTAGGGTCTCACCAGGTTCTATCAGACCAGTAAACCTGATCTTTTTTTTTTTTTAAGATTTTGAGTTTTGTTCCACATTGTTCCTCTTTTCTATCCAGGATCTTATACTTTTTGCATGTTGATTCCACACTTAGAAATTCTCCAGAGCCACTGTGAAAAGTAATCCTCCCTTCTGAGAACACTGAATATATTAGCTGGAGTCTAGACCAATGTCTGATCAAATCATCTAAGTAGACATAACACTTAAGGGAAAGTAGCCCTGGCTGCTTACTACTTAGTCCTGTGCTCCCTACTGACCTGCTGGATTTGAGTGCTTCAGACAGAAGGTGGCTAAAGGGAAGGCACTGTAGTAGTTAAGGTTACATGTCAACTTGGCTGAGCCTGGTTTTGAGTGGCTAGGCAGCTGGGTGTAGTGATTCCCCATGATGAGATTGGTAATCAATTCCATGGTGGAATCTACTGGAGCAGCAGAATAGCTGCCTTAGGGATGTGATCTGCTTCCAGCGTGTAAGGAGAAGCTTTGGAAATGGTCTCAGCAGCTTTTTGGCACTCTTTGACCCTGCATGTAGCAGCCTGCATGTTTCCTGCTGATCTTGGGACTGTCTCTGGACTTGAACTAGTGGCCTGCCATGTTGTTTGGTAATACTGGGACTGTGCCATTTTTATTTGTTGACCTTCAGCTTGTTAGCCTCAGCAGCCAGCAGCTGCCTGAGTAAAGAGACACCTCTGGCTCCAGTGGGCCAGGAACAAGAGGTAGAGCTGAAGGCCAAGGTCAAGGAGCTTTCACCCACCCCCTAGATCTGGCACTTTGGACTGGGACTTCTGTCTTCCTAAACTGTAAGAAAATAAATTTCTGTTTGTTAAAGCCACTCACCTGTGGTTTCTCTGTTATAGCGGCACTAGATAACCAAAACAGCCAGCACTTGTTGATCTCTAACGCTGGAAGAGTTCCTTGTAGGAAGGGGGAGTGCCCTTGGGCACTGCTCCAGTGTTCCTAGGTCTGCCACCTTTGACCCCTCCTCCCACAAAACTTTTCAAACCAGTCCCTAGGGCTGGAATTTTCCATTTACATGTCTATGCAGAAGATAGTTGTTTATTTCCCTCTTGTACAATTGAGTCTGAAAATTGCATCTAACTATGTAGTGGAGGTGAAGGTCAATTTCTGGTTTAATCTCCTCTGCTACTCCATTCCCCTTCTCCAGACCTGAGTTTTCTTTCTCAAACTCTTCTGTCTTCCTGCTGCTTTCCCTCCCCTTAATCAAGCAGTTCACGCAATTCCATAGACTGAAGATGGATTCATACCAAAGATTTATTTGTGATGAGGCTGGGAGGAGTCTATAAAAACCAACTCTGTAGGGTGGTGCAGTCCCCCCCCCCACACACACACACACACAGGCACACACAAGCCAAGCTGCAAATGTGGCCAAGAGAAAACGTCGAGAGGAAATCGCTGTGGGCCTGGAAGTGGGTAACCAGGGTTCATTTCCTAATTCTGCCACTAATACATTTGACCTTAGGTTTTTAGCTACTTTTTACCAAATGCCTTCTGCATGCTAAACATTGTGGTCAACATTTTGCAAAACAGTTAGCTCATTTAATTCTCAGAACAGCCTTCCAGTTTAGTTATTAGCCCACTTTATAGATCAGGAAATTCATGCTCAGACAGGTAAGAACATGCTCAAGATCAGATGTAGTAAGGAAAAGAGGTGGGCTAACCTGGTAACACTCCAAGTCTTTCATGTACCGTCCATATATTTGCCTTCTACAATTCTAACTACTTGAATGGAGGTGGGGGAGCAACTGTGGTATCCATGGCTACCCTTTACAATTAGGGATTAGGTTCTGCAGAAGAGCAGGTTGGGTAGCTGTGTATTGCTGATTTAATATTTTTCTTGGCTCAAGTGAAAGAACAGACTAGTAACCGCATGATAGCAAAAACTACCCCCGCTGTGGCAGTGCCCAGCACCACCTGTTCGTTCTGCGGTAATCTGCTCCTTCATCACCCCACTCTGTGTTCTACAGCCAGTTGACCCTAGAGTTTCATGGTTCCACAGACCCACTGCTATGTGACAGCCTGTGTGTGACTATATATAGAAAGATATACAAGCACAGAGGCCACTTCCTCTCCCTGCTTCTCAGTTTCCTTCTCAGCCAAAATTGGCCCATGACCACTACTCCTGACCTGGTGAGCTCATCGGCCAAGGCCAGTTTCTACTCCCAGCTCCCTCTTGCTCATTCTTTCCCCTTCTCTCAAAGCAGATCTCTGCCCTACACAGGATGGAGTGGACAGTGAAGTCGGAATTGGCAGGAAAGGAACGATTATTTTCAGGACCTGCTGCATTGTTTGTTGCAAAAGGGAAAAGAGACAAGGGAGAGCCCACTGGCAGTGGCCAGAAATGGTCTTATTGAAATCAGGGTATTTTTAGTTGGTTTGCTCATCCAACAGCTGAGAAGGCCACCTGTCCTAAGTTGTTGGCACTACCTCTCCAGCTGGAGAGCCTGTGGTCTTTGCTTTTTGCTCTGTTTTCCTTGCAACCTCTTTCCTGCATTTCATCACAATCTATACCTCCCTGAGCTAGGAAATTATATGTAGGCTAGAGGTGTAGTTCTGAATCCCTTCTCATTGCTGAGTTCTGGGTTGTGAAAGTCAAGGCTTCTGGAGGATTCTTGGGTAAGAAAAACATTAAAGGGAGAACCAGGCAGCTAAGAGCAATGAGGGTAGGGGAAGAATGAGCCCTAGGCAGTGGTTACAGCCAGGCACAGCCACACTACATAATTATAGCCATGTTGTTGATAAGGCAATTGAGGCTCAAAAAAGATATGTGACATTCCCTGGTTCTCCCAGATAGAGTTAAAAAGTGATTCTTCACCACTTCCTTATTTGATGTGTACATACCTCCTAATAGAGTAACAGTGTATTTCTCTCTCAGAAGGTGGGCCATGAACTCTTTGATAACAAGAACACTTTATTTCTTCCCCATCCTAATTCAGTGACAGGTAGATAATAGTTGCTCATTTAGGCCTTGGAGGTTGGGGCAATTGGGTAAGATAGAATACTTTTTATATATTAATATAAAATAATATATTATTTTATATTATTGTTTGGTCCTTTACTGGACCAAAAAGTTCTCTGTAAAATTAAGGATGAAGGTCTATGGGAGAACTAGCTAGGATTTTAGCCCACCCCTTGAATGAGCAGGAATAGAGGAGAGAAGGGGTGGGGCCAGCCGTGGATGTGCTGCCCCAGCCAAGAGAACCAGATATGGCGCCCAGCCTCCAACTCCATGGCAGGAGTCCACTTGGACTGGAGTTCTTGCAAGACTCCAGGAACACAGGACCTTGCCAGGTCTCCTGACTTCCTGTCAGAAACAATTGAGGTGGTTGGCAACCTGATCTGCTCCCTGGGCTGGGCTTTGGGCAAGGGCTCTGCCCCTACCTTCTGCATCTTTCTTGGCTGTGGTAGCAGTGTCAAGCATCTCTGGTTCTGGCTGTGGAGCATCTTATCTCACCCCCCTTGATGGGGACTTTCCATGATTTGAGGTTCTTTTCCTCAGGTTAACAGCCTCTATCAAAACTGTTCAGCTCTACTGTTAGGGTACAAAAGCAGCAATAGATGATATGTAAGTGAATAAGCATGACTGTATTCTAGTAAAATTATATGGACACTGAAGTTAGAATTTCATAATTTTCACCCATCATGAAACGCTATTCTCTCTTTTTTTTTTTTTGTCTCCAACCATTTAAAAATGAAAAATCAGTCTGGTCTCGTGAGCCCTAACAAAAATAGGCAGTGAGCCAGATTTGGCCCTCAGGCCATAGCTGACAAACCCCTGTTCTAACTTGGTGGTTTTCTGCTGCTTTCTTCTAATAACTCCAGGAAGATGGGGCAATCTACTTCCGTAGTGATACTGCCTCGGAAACCCAAGGAGGGGTCGGGTCCGACTCAACAGCACATAACAACAACAACAACATTGTAGGAAGAATAAATGGAAAAGAAAGTCCCATCTGGTTCCCTCTTATAGCCCATGTGTTTAAAAAAAGAAAAAAGAAAAAAAAGTTGTCAACTTTTCCAACTCATGGTGACCCCATGTGTTACAGAGTAGAACTGCTCCATAGGATTTCCTTGAGTCATCTTTTTATGGAAGCAGATTGTCAGGCCTTTCTTCCACAGCACTGCTGAGTGTGCTTAAACTGCCAACATTTCAAATAGTAGTTGGGCTTAAAACATTTGTGCCACTGGGGACCTATAATAGCTCATGGAAAGGAGGCCTTATAAGCTACCCTCAGAATTTGGAGTGAAACTTTCCCCCACTGGAAATAAAACAGCAAAAAACTCAATGCATAATCATGGTCCTAACCATTTGCATAAGAAGCCACTCAGAATTGCGGGCTTGATTAAAAAGTGGGGTGTTTCCTAAGACCAGAACTATGGTCTATAGAGAACTATAGTTTCTCAGAACTATGTAGCTGAGGAAAGCTGTAACCTAATTGGTGGAGCAGGCCATATTATGTGGTCAAGAGTGCAGGATCTGTCATCATACAGACTGAATCAAATCCAGACTCTGCTGCCAGCTAGCTCTGTGAAATCTGTGCAAGATACTTAACTTCTGGGCTTATATTCCTCATCTGTAAAAAGAAATCACCTCCTTCTTAAGATTGTTTGGATTCAATGAAAATATGAATATGGTAGTATAGAGACTGATGCATAGCAAGTGTGTTTGGGCTATTGAGAGTTAGCGCCTTATGCAGGCCACTAGCTTAAAAGGAAAAGAGGAAAACAAAGAAGGGACCATGTGTGTTTATCTGGCAGTGTGAAGGGAAGAGTGTGCTTTGATTCCAGAATACTTCTATTCTCCTGTTGGAAAATTCCCCAGAGTCAACAGAGACTATTTGTCCTGCTACCCTAGCTTACCATCAGCTGTGAAGGAGAAAGATGTAGCAGTCTGCTTCCGCAAAGATTTACAACCTTGAAAATCCTATGGGGCAGTTCTACTCTGTCCTACATGGTTGCTGTGAGTTGGAATTGACTCAATGGCAGTGGGTACTGCTGGTACCTTAGCTTACTGGAAACATCCTTGTAAGAACATTTAACTCCTTCTGTGTGTGTGGAGCCCTGTTGGTGCAATTGTTAAATGCTCCACTGCTCACTAAAAGTTTAACTGTTCGAGCCCATCATTGGCTCCTGGCAATCTCCTCCTGTAAAGACTGCAGACAATGAAACCCAATGAGGCAGTTCTATTCTGTTATATAGGCTCCACTGAGTCAGAATCAACTATGTACACAGTAACAACAGCTCTTTCTGTGTACCGTGTGTGTGTGTGTGTGTGTCTGTGTGTGTAGTTTGGATGCCTGAAGGAATTTATCCATTGAGAAGGGGCAGGGAGAATGAATGAACTACGTGGGGTGCTCTGCCAGAAATGTCCCCTGCATGTGAGACCTAGCAATAAGTACAAGACTATTGAGCCTGAATAAATTCTTAGTCATTAATCAATTCTGAGAGCCCTACTAAATTCAACCCTACTGCACGGTGTCTATGGGACAAGCACCCTCCCATCCCTACAAAAAAATGCCCAGGCAGTTAGCCAGCCTCTTCTAATTTGATATCACTGGGTTTATGCAAAAACATATTAATCTGCTCTCTTGCTGTTTTCTGTCTTCTTCAGCAAACTCCGGAACCAAGCACAGAGTGAGCGATATGGATATAAAGAGGTAAAATTCCAAAGCATTCCCTTCTCCCAGCTTTCCATCTCCGCTAATTGCCTTGATAGAGAAGAGAACAAGTTTGAGTTCCTTTGGCCTGAGATCTGCCTTGGCCTCCCTTCTGGCCCTCCCTTAGGCAGATCCCATTTCCTATCTTTGAGTCTGGCTTGTCCCAGATGGTACCTTAAACCCTCCCCTTCACAGAGAGGGAAGAAATTCCTCTGAGGGGCTGGGAGCCCCTTCACTGATTGTTCTACCCTAGTCCTTTGAGGCCTCTAGTTCTTGTGGTTTGTTTTCTTCTAACATCATGCCATCTCTTTTCTTCCTTGGCTGTCCAGGTGGTGCTTAAAGGTGATGCCAAGAAGTTGCAGTTATATGGGGTGAGTGTCCTAGGGCAGCAGGCAGAAGGGCCCCATCAGCTAAGGCAATGGCATCTTTCTCCAGCTCTCCGCTAGGTGCTTTCTGGAATCTTTACAGTCCCTGCCTTCATATCTCCTTTGGCTAAATAAAAAGGACTCATCCCAGCAGATAATCAATATATGGAATTCATTATCTCTGGAACTGGCACAGGCAGAAAATGAAGGAATCCTAAATGAGCTTGCAGGTGGCCACAGTAATCTCACTGTGTATGATTGTGAAGGGGAGATGATTACACCACTTTGATGGAAGACACATAGGTTTCAGCTAAGTTTTCTATGTTCAGACCCCATGTTCTGATTTTTTTCACTAAAGAAATGAAGTCCTTATACCCTGTCTGAACAGACTGTGAATCTGACTAGTGCAGGCATTCCTACATTTTTTCCTTCTTCCCTCCTATCCCCATACACAGTCCTCATTCCTTAGGTCCCCTTGAACAGGCCATTTCCTATTCCTTGCCCATCTATGCCATTGAGGTCACTTAGCTCATTGCTCAAGGCTTCCTTCCATTACCACAGACACACCTGTACTATACAGAATGTGCTTGTGGTTGTCTGGGACAGGGGAGGATCACAGGGATCACTGATCATGAGAACTGCCCAGACATAGCCTCATTCCATCCCTCTTTTGATGTCCGCTATTACATCACAGCAATTTCAGATGTTTCCTGGACTAGATATAAGCAAAATTTCTTCTCAAATGGTGATTAAAGTGAAAGTAGAGGGTTAACACAGGGAAATAAGGCTGGATTTTAAAACTATAACTGACCGCATACACCATCTTTATTTCCAGTTATTGCTGAGTGCCCCCTCACCAAATGTACTATGCTGCCAAGATTAAAAACCATTATTCTAGAGCAGGACTGTCCAGTGGAACATCTATAACAATGAAAATGTTCTATATTCTGTCTAATATGATAGTTACTAACCATATGTGGCTGTTGAGTACTTGAAACATAGCTAATGTGGCTGAGGAAATACATTTTTAACTTCATCTTATTTGAGTTACTTTAAACATAAACAGCCACATGTGGCTAATGGCTACCATATTATCAGTGCAGTTTTATAGAATATGACTAAGGCTTCCCTGGCCAGAGAAGAGACTGGACCTGAGCTTAATTTTCTGAGATGAGATAATGAATCTTCAGGTTGGGTGAATGAGGATCTCCCTCCAATCGCCTGTCACACTCCCTCCTTTCTCCACAGCAGACCTGTGCAGTCTGTCTGGAAGACTTCAAGGGAAAAGATGAGCTAGGTATGCTCCCATGCCAACATGCCTTTCACCGGAAGTAAGTATCCACTGGGGATATGTGTCGATTGGTGTCTTTTGAAAGAGAAATAGGCAGCGAGCATCTTCTAGTACCTCCATTTTCTAATAGCTCCCCTCTATCCCATTGCTGGCGATGCCGTAGATCCTGTCTGGTCTGAGTACACCAAGTAAACCAGAGGGGTTAGACTGGGGAAGGGACAGGAATGTTTTTCTGAGGGGTAGCTGTGCTCTAAGGATGAGAGACAGCTAGAGAATGGCAAGATGTATCATCTTAGAGAATAACTGGTCTTTTTTGCCCACAGATGTCTGGTAAAGTGGCTGGAAGTACGCTGTGTTTGCCCTATGTGTAACAAGCCCATTGCTGGTCCCTCAGAGGCCACTCAGAGCATTGGCATCCTATTGGATGAGCTGGTATGAGTGCTGCCTCTACACCAAGACCTAGAGAAGACCTCTTGCCTTGTAGATGCCTGGTCTGTTTGCACAGCTACAGTGAACAAGACACTTGGGTGGTGATGAACATGCTCACCTTGAAGGGGAGGATGGTATAGGGCTAGTGTTTGCCATAGGGTGACTCCAGCGCCACTTGCCCCACTTTTCTGCCTCCTGAAGCCACCTTCCCTGCTACTCAGTACCAATGGCATCACCCATCAAGACCACTGTATCCTGGTACCGGACTGTCTACCTGCATTGTCCTTGCTCTGGAGAGAGAAATATGCCCTTCTCTGCCCAAGAACTTGGAACACTTCCCTTCTAGGTCCTCCTTAGGAGGACAAGCCAGCCTTACCTAGAAAAAGGGATGAGATAGGCTCTGCCCCACATGTAACCTCCCTGCTTCTTCTCACTCTTTCCAAAGAAAGGTTAGAAAGGAAGGAAGGAAAGATCAGGAATCAAATGCCTCCAGTAGAGAGAGGGAGACTGTGAAGTAGGGAAGAGCAGGGACATAAGAAAGGAAGAAGTCGATGTTTACATCGGACCTGTTGAAACAAAGGCTGGCTGGCCAGCGTCCGACTGCAGGGTAATAGAGGGCAAACCCTGCCCCCTTGCTAACATCTGAGGTGCTATCTAGTCTCTCTCTTCCTCATTTACTATCAGAGCTTCCTGTTACATGCTGGGGTTTGTGTGCCCCTCTGGAGCTGGGGCATGTTTTACACTCAGATCGACTCCTACGGTTTTTTCCCTAAAGAAGCAAAAAGGGACTGGGGATAGGGGTGTCTGAAAGTTAAGATAAGGGCAGAAACCTCTTTCTCCTTTGTAAATAGTATTTTTATATGTCATCCTTACCATCTCAGGCTTTATACATGGGATCCCCAGAATGAAAGGGGGTGGGGGTGGGGTCTTCCATTCCCAGAGTATGTGAGGATGGGTAAGGGGTATGTATTTAAAGAAAATTAAATTTAATAACAAGTTTCTCTAACCTCCTTTTGCCTGTAGTTGTGGCTTGTGCCTTTTGGGTCTTTTCTGCCAGTAGAGGGGAAAAAGTTCTCTATCTGCCTCTTCTCACTGCCCTATACCCAAAACCCTGATAAAGCCAGGCTCATTTTCTTAAAGAAAGTTGATATTCTCAACCACATACTTTGTTTAACTAAGACATGAAATTAATAGAGTTGTACTTTTAATTGAAGCAATTGTTGCAAACAACAAAAAGGTCTGGGTTTTCTTCCTTTACTATACTTTTCTTATCTACTAGCTGATAATTAGTAGCCCTGGTGATATATTGGTTAAGTGCTCTGGCTGCTAACTGAAAGGTTAGTGGTTTGAACCCACCAGCAGCTCTGTAGGGAGAAAAGATCCAGTGATCTGCTTTCATAAAGATTACAGCCTTGGAAACCCTGTGGGGCAGTTCTACTGTGTCCTACAGGTTGCTGTGAGTCAGAATTGACACAACAGCTGTCAGTCACACAACCCGGTCTCTTATGCCACATCTAGAAGAGCAGGTACTATGTTCAGATTCAGATCTTGTACCTATGCCCTCCAACTTTGCTCTTTCAGTATCACCATGGGGTACAGAATTAATATTGGATCAAAAGTTGGTAACAATTGACATGGGCCATTTCATGAGCATGGAGCAACTAGGAGGTGGTTGCCCACTGCTTGGTGAACCTACAATACCAGCAGCCATCCCAGGGAGCAAGCTCTGGGTGCTATGCACAACAGAAGCATTTGTTGAGTGACTGTGTGTAGTGGCTCACAGAGGTGCAGGAGTTTCCCGTTTACCCAGAAAAGCCAAGTCTTGGGAGTGTGATGCCCATCCACACCCATAGTTGTGTCATGGAGACTCATGCCAGACAGCCCTAAAGTACAGCACCTTGACAGCCTTAATGAAGTCATCAGCACCTGTCTTGCTAGAGTACTTTGCCCAACTCCTATACTTGCCAACTCCTTCCCCTCATACTATCTTGGCTTCTGGCTTCTAAGTTGCTCCAGCTACTCCTCAAAGACCTCAACCCTGGGTGCTGCTGCCAACCTTATGGGGCCCACTCCTTTCAACATTGGGGGTACTGCTGCTGCTTCCTTCAGCACTGCCAGCTTTCTTTGAGATAGAAAAACTGTACTTCCTAAAAAAGTAAAGAACCCTGCCACATGGTGGATGCATTGCTGGGATGAGGTAGGTAAACAAGTAATTTGCAAGGCTGTCTTCACCACCATCTTCTTCCTCACTACCTCCCTTTCCTCTTTAGGAAAATTCTTCAGTGTTGGCATAATTCTGATTAAAATGTTGGCACTAAAGTGTCTGATCACGAATATCAATGTCCTGAGGTCTGAGTAACAGTACAAATGCCTTGTATTCTTTTCAAGGCTTCAGTGTAGTTAGGTTAAACTGCCAGGGAGTACAGAGAAGAGAACACTTGATATTTTCAGCTTGTCAGAGATGGATCTGCAGCAGCTGAGCAAAAGGTAAACAATCACTCATCCCAAGTTCATAGTCACCAGTATGGTCTTGCTACTCCGTGTTTCTAGAGCACCTCTAACGATGCCAGGCACAAAAAGATGAGGACAGTTCTTGCTTTGGGAAGAAAAGTATTTGGGGTAAGCAAGCTTCTACAACAAAGGAAGACTTAGTTCAACTTGTGAGGAGATGAGAGCAAGGGGGCCTAAGGGAAGATAATATCTGAAGTGAGGGTTGACAGAAAGTAACATGGGCAAAGACGGTGAAGTATTAAACAGCTTTTTGGGACTGGGGGGTATGAACTGGGTGAAGTTGCTCTGGGGAAAAGCTGTGGGGTTGGGAGGAAGGACAGTGAGATTAGTCCTGCATGGTTCCAGGAACCTGGAGCTTGGTGTTGTAAGAATCCCAGTTGCCATCCAATTGATTATGACTCATGGCAACCCTATAGTGTCAAGAGTAGAACTGAGTTCCAAAGGGTTTCCAGTAGCTGGTATTTAGGAAGTAAATTGTCATACCTTTCTGCTGAGGCACCTCTAGGTGGACTCAAACCACTAAATTTTCAGTTAACCAGCTGAGGGCACTAACTTTGATTGACCCAGACATTCCTTAATCTTCTTTGGATAGGCATTTTAAGAAAAAAATCTGGGGAACCATCAAAAAACTGAGCCAATTTGTCGGTAGACAAAATATGGAGAACTATGCTGTCTTCAGCACTGCTCATTACTGAAGAGAAATTTCTCCCCAACTGAAGGAAGCTAGTGACAATCATTCATCACCAGGATCTCAGCTTCTGCAATATTATCTGTTTGCAAACACCCATTTGGTCAATCAAAAGATAATAAGCACCTACCTTACCACGACCATGTTCTTTCACAAATTACATTTTATTTTCTTTATAGACCCCTCTTGAGTTATGGATTAGGAAAAGAATGTTCAGAAAAGCTAAATGGCTTACCAACATTACACAGATAAAAGCAGCAGAGCCAAGGCACAAACCCACATTGTGGGGATCTTAAATTCTAGGCTGCCTTCTTGGCCCCACACAGCTTCAGAAGCAGATTGATTGCCATGATGATACTCAAGAAAGGAGCTGGTGGGATTCAAAATGGAGTCTCACCAGTAAGCAGCATGTTTCCCACCCACCCCCCTCTGGCATCTAAGGACTTTAAGAATTAGGTATAACAGTTTGAATTGGGAACTTTGATGCTCTGAACAGCTCACTGAATCAGAGTGCACCAAACACAGAAGAGCAGAATTGGAGGAAAGGCACAGGGAGATTATTTAGGAAAGAGCTACTGCCAGAGGATGGACGGGCACCCAAGAGAGACCTTTGGAAACCTTTCTGGGGCAGTCACTGTCTGCTGGGTGGAGGCGGCCGCCTGAGATCCCCAAGCCAAGAACAAGGTCACTTATAGCAGCTTACCAACGACCACTACAGTATTCCAGCGGGCAGTGGCAGAGACCTGCCTCCAGCAGCTGATTTTGTCAGTAATTTGGGTGATCTGGGTGCAGGCGGACACGGGCACCACTGCTGAAATTCAGGCAGAGATCTCACTGTTGCGCCAGAAAGGCTAGCTTCCTCCCCTCCCAGCAGATCACAGAGCTGGCTTGGGTCAGACTGGGAGACACGTGCTTTTGTTTGCAACGGTTATTGGGACTGCAAGTCACTGGCAGGTACTCCCCCGACTCCACCACAGCTAAAATCGCAGGCATCTTTGGTGCCACAGGTGGGCAGTATCGCAGACAAACTCCAGAGCTGACCATTACGGTCTGGCAAGATTGCATCACCACTGTGGGCAGATGGGACACAGAGAGCAAAGAAACCTCAGCTGAGTGTGATCCAACGATTTTTGCCCTGGAGCCGCGCTTTGGCACTGTGGGGCTGTGGAGGCGGGGTCTTTGAGTGTGCCTGAAATTGGCGGAAATTTGTGACCCTCTAACATTAGGAGCTCTGGTAGCATAATGGCTAAAGCACTTGACTGCTAACCAGAAGGCTGGTGGTTCAAATCCACTCAGCCACTCCTCAGAAGGAAGGTTGGGCAATCCTACTTCCGTAGTGATACTGCCTCGGAAACCCAAGGAGGGGTCGCTATGAGTCGGTGACGACTCGACGGCACATAACAACAACAACAGCAATAGGAATCTTTCCTGAGATTGAGCTGGGGTCTTGCAAATAAATACGTCATCAATAATAGCCTGCTCAGGTACTTTGCCGACTCCAACACACCCAAAATTGCACACATCCTTGGCGGTGCAGGTGGGCGGTATCCCAAACTCCAGAGACCGGCCATTGGCAGTCTGGTGGGATTGCATCAACACTGTGGGCAGACAGGGCACAGAGAGCAAAGAAACTGAAGCTGAGCCCGGTCCCAGCGAATCTTGCCTTGGAGCCACGCTTTGATGCTGTGGGGCCACGGAAGCAGGGTCTTTGAGTGTGCCTGAAATTGGCGGAAATTTGTGGCCCTCTAACAATAGGAATTTTTCCTGAGGTTGAGCCGCAGTCTTGCAAATAAATTTGTCACCAATAATAGCCTGCTCAAAGTCCTAGAAACC